TTTTTTTTTTTTTTTGTAATTTATACTAAGCCCTTTAGAATGTCATATTGGTCTTTTATTAGTAACCTTGACAATATGATTAGACTCCAAAAAATGTACTTGTTAGTGAATAGCTTTCATTCTCTAAACTTTAAAGAGGCCACTGAGCTATGACCAAAGCGGGCTTTATTTTTAAGACTTTTTGCAACACAAAAGCACAGATGGTAATAAAATATATGTTTAGATCAAGCAATCAATTAAACATATCTGTTAACAGTTAAATACATGTGGCAGTGTTATAGATTTATTTTAACTGACTATTTAATGCCATAATTTGGGCAGAACTCTAACTTCCATTTTCTGAATTAGAGTTGACTTTGAATTATAATTACAGACATGATTTTGTTAAAATATAGACTAAATGTTTGTCCTCTTAAATGTTATTTCCTCTTTATTATGTATTGAGTCCCATTTAGATTTTGTTATCACTGCAAATAGTATAAAGATAAGTTGCTAAAGTTAAAATAATTGAGACAAAGCTTTACTTATATTTTTAATAAAAGAAGACAATGCAATCATTAGCTACATTAATTGAAATGCATTTGGACAGCATTGATTAAGCCTGAGGGGCAAATGAGCACCTCCTCCCCCAACTCCCTCCTCCCCCCAAAAGCAAGAGGAAAAACAAAAAGAACAGCCCCAAACAAACAAACAACAAACAAACAAACAAACAGAAAAACGAAAGCAAATCTTTCCAACAGTAAACAGTACCAAATAACAGAAATCAGAAACTCCAACTTTAACCTTCCCTGGAGCTCAGTGGAGCCTCTGAAAAGTCCTTACTATCTTTCTGTACCCCTCCCATCTCTTCACTGCCCATATGTTATTTAAATGCTGATGATCTTGCTCCTGGTAATTTCAATGAGCCACAGCAGACATATAATGCTTCCTGTTTTAATAGGTGCAAAGTGAGTTATTGTCACAAAGCAGATATGAAAAAGGACGTGAAAAGAGAGTCTTGCCTAATCCCTGTAATGCGGGCGTGTGAGGGTGCTAACATGGTCACCTGAATTATGCATGGCTATTGTGTTCAGATATCATAAATCGGTGCCTGAATACCCTCCAAATCATTTTCAGTCCGTGAACATTTATATACAGAGCTCTTGAGCACTGCAAAGACAATTAGTCATATTTGTATGCCGGAATTAATTGAGAGTGAGAAGCGGGAGGCAGAACGAGAGAACAAAGAATGCTTTTTGTCAGTTCTTCCGACTGACAGGGATAATTAGATATATGAAATTGAAATTCCTCAGCAGGGGGCTTCTGTTGACAATGAATTTCCTTTTGATTCCATTCTGTTATTCTTTTATGCTGTCATCTGTGGCAATTTGTTATTCAGCTTGAAGCTTAAAAAAGCAAAGCATTCCGCTTTTATGAGTAGATGATGTCAGTTTGTACACTGCTGGGAAATAGATATTAAATGTAATCTTTAAACTAAAAAAAAGAAAAGAAAAGAAATAAAATAAAATAAAATCAGTTAAAGAGACAGTGTGCTGTTTAGCAGGCTGAAGGAAGAAACTTCACAGCAGCAGCAGGAACTTGCCTAGCGAAGTTGCTCAGGCCGTTTGAATCCGCTGCACGCGGCGCGGAGCTTTTCTTCCAGGAGGCTGTGCCTGGGTGCTGGAGTGTGTGCAGCGCCAGCGTGCCACTAGATGTGAGCTGCTAGACGGACATGATCATTATCATGCTGAGTCTTTTACTGTGCCTCTGTCCTGGCTTCACAACACCAACACATTCATACATAGTCTCGATCTCTTGTTTGCTTCCATCCAAATCAAATGCTGTGGATGGACGTAATTCTTGGGATAGGAATCGAAAGAATGCCTTTATGCCAGCACCTCAGAACATCTGCATATACCTACATATCCAGTTTCGCTGGTGAGCCTGACTTGGAATGGTCACAAATTAAAGATAATGCCATATAGCTTGTGGAGTATTACTGGCACAAGGTCACTTCAGCACGCCTTGGCATTGGTATGCTTAAGACCATGCCTTTAAAAATTAGTGACTTTTGTGAATTGTGGGGGAGACTTTTAGGCAACTGAGACTTTTCTCCTTCATTTATAGAGTTGGTATAGTTAACTTTTACATTTTCAGATGGATTCAGCACAATACCCAGGGTGGAGTAGGCACCCTTTAAAGTTCACTCCTGCTGCCCTTTTGTTGCTGCCTGACTTTTAACAATCCTCTCACACACACAGCCTCACCTTTCCTTCTTTTAAAGTGTGCATATTGGGTATTAGGCACCAAAGATACCATGTTTGGTCTTGGGGATGAATTGAGGTCCAAGATGGTTCTTGAGTTTATCGTTCATGCCTGCGGTGCACACAGCAGCAACAAGGTCTATTAAATGCAGTGTCATGAACGCTCTCCAGATATGGAATCAGGAGATTTAAGAGTTTGGTTGCCACCAACCCAAGAGTATTGGAATTACTGACTCCTGTAGCTGCCTGTACTTAGGGAAACTTGCTGGGTCTGTGGGTATGAACTCCCGCCTTCCCATCAGTTCCTTTCCATACTGAGAGTCAGGTCTGCTGTCTGTTTCTGCCTCTCTGGTGGAAACACTCAAGGCAGAGTTGACATTCATCTAATCATCTTGGTGGCAGGGTAGCCACAGATGTTGTGAAAGAATTCATTTGCCTTTGGGATGCCTAACTCGGGTTTGACAATGTGGATATTTGCAGAAGCACTGATGATCAATCAGAACACTGTCCCTAAGAAGATGTCTGGATGCCATCTATAGATGAAAACGCAGGATTCGTATACCTGCAGCTCTCAGATTCCTGATGAAAAATGAAGCTGGGAACTTCATATCTGAGTACATTCCCATTTTAGGGTCATGGTCATAGAGTAAATAGCCTTTGGATGGAATGCTCTGCACTCTTCCTGGACATGTCTTCAGGCACACCACATGGATATCCTGTTTTTCTGACTGTTGCTCTCTGTTTTCCCTCTCCCTTTCCCCTTAACAGTTTTCCATTTTGCTTAGGAGCCTCTGCCCCTGTGTTTCCATCTCATCAATTCAAGCTCCTCGGAGTTTGGAAGGTTTGTTCCCCAAAATGAACGTTCTCTAATCAAAATCAGCACCCTGGTGACTGGATCAAAAAGAGCAACAACACAAAAATCTAATTTTCGTCAAAAACAAAAATCTCATGAGGTGTTGGCCAACACCACGTTCCAGCTAACCACTGTGCATGTAAATATACCATGTGGAACCACGCCGAAAGGGGTAATACTGAGTGCCAAGGGCCTTATTTAACTAAGGAGACATTTGATGCAAATTTAAGGAGAGAAGGCCAAGAAAAGGAAAGGTCACCCGTTGATTTAAGAAGTAGTCAGGACAGAGAATGTGGCAGCCCACAGACCCTTTGGAAGAGTATTCAACAAATTCAAAACCAAACAAAAGCCATATTTTTTATAGGACTAAATTAAATGGAAGATGGATGTATATCCACATTACCATTGCAAATCTCCCTAAAGTGCCTGATTAAAACCTTTTGGTTTTCATTACAGAGGATGTCATAGCTTTGCTCTGTCAGTCCTGGAAGCTGGGGTTACAGAAATCCAGATGGTGAGAACCCTTGGGCTGGTCTTCATCTAGATGGGTGTGAACAGCTGCTGAGGAGACCAACAAAGGAATGCAGTGAGCGGTGGTACAAGGGTTATCTTCTATGAGATCCAGTTGATGCTCCAGGTGGGGGCTTTCCATAGCACACTGTTCATTAGCTAGTAGTTGCTTCTCAGATACCTGCCCAGGTCATGACAGACTCAGAATAGCCAAAGCATTTCATCTGGAGGTCTGCAACATCTGTAGGCCCCCATGAACAGCATCACAACTGGAGTGAACAAAGCCACCATGTGCCCAGAGAGTTGTCTGTTCAGGTATCTCTAGACCTTTCCTGTACCTGCCAGGCAGATGAGAACAGCTCGTGGGGGATAGAAGTCTAAGCTGGGGACAAAGCTGGCCACCACATCTGAAACAGCTAGGATCATTCAGTCCAGAGGAGAAGGAACTAAGGGACAACTTGAGATCTTTCTTGAGGGATAGAGAATAGTTTTGCAGCTAGATCTTGGCAATAGAAGAGGGAAATCTTTATTTAAATTTCATCAAGAAAGCTGTGGTGCAGAGCTTCTTGGGAGCCTGGTTTATTAGCAAAGGAGCTGAATTTCCACTGAGCACAACTCAGCAGACCTTACAGACCAGTTTTCCTGAAACTGTTTGCTTTACTTATTTTCCAGTTTTTTTCCTCTAAGCATTATCTATCTATCTATCTATCTATCTATCTATCTATCTATCTATCTATCTATCTATCTATCTATCTATCTATCTATCTATCTATCTATCTATCTATCTATCTATCTATCTATCTATCTATCTATCTATCTATCTATCTATCTATCTATCTATCTATCTATCTATCTATCTATCTATCTATCTATCTATCTATCTATCTATCTATCTATCTATCTATCTATCTATCTATCTATCTATCTATCTATCTATCTATCTATCTATCTATCTATCTATCTATCTATCTATCTATCTATCTATCTATCTATCTATCTATC